ACCAGACCCTACCCAGGAATTAATAACCCCAAAGGAGGCTGCAGAAATAAATTGATAACCCAAGAGTAGGCCTACCTAATGACCAAGTACCAGTTATAAAGTATCAGCTCAAAGGCCACTCTGTGCTCTCAGTCTCCACGGTAACCTGAAGATAACTGGGTTTATGACTCATTAGAGTAGTCAGGGTCAGTGACCACCATGCCCTCCATTCCCTGCCTAAATACCACAGCTTGTCCAAGGAGGTGTATATCTTATGCTCCTCACTATATCACCCCCAAAACCATGCATTCCGTGTTTATTTCTCCACTCATAGCCTTGGAGGCCAGAGGTAATATTCCATTTGTCTGACACCTTGTTCTTGGGTCCTTCTGGAAGTCAGGTTGATATCATGTAACCCAAAGCCTCTACCATAGTCACACAGTTAGCATAAACTACATATTAGAACATTCCAAAGGCTTACTTGCTACTTCTCAGGTAATAGAGGCAAAGGGTCAAACCCTTCTTTGGGCAAGGTTAATCCTTTGCCACACGGTATTCAAAAGAAAGGAAAACATAAATAAAAACTTCTGCATAAATTTTCATAGCAACATTATTTTATAATAGCAATAAATAAATATTTGACTCCAAAAGTTGGCTGTGCTTTCTTCTTTTAGCCCCAAAGTGTACACAGACTTCCAATTATAAATACCACAGAATAACCTTTTCTAAAACTAGATGATCCTTGGGTTCTCATCAGCCCTCATTGTTCGCCATGCTCAGAGAGTCCAGTTTTATCCTATGCTTTTTCAGTCACAGTTCAGCTGGCCTTGGTGAGCTCCCAATAGATCAGCTCCACTGTCTCAGTGGGTGGGTGCTCCCCTCGTGGTCCCGACTTCTTTGCTCATGTTCTCCCTCCTTCTGCTCCTCATCGGGACCTTGGGAGCTCAGTCCAGTGCTCCAGTGTGGGTCTCTGTCTCTGTCTCCATCCATCACCAGATGAAGGTTCTTCTTACTTAGCTTCTTTGGGATCACCAAGTGTAGACTCCGTGACCCTTGTTTATGGCTAGAAACCAATTATGAGTGAGTACATCCCATATTCATCTTTTTGGGTCTGGGACACCTCACTCAGGATAGTGTTTTCTATTTCCATCCATTTGCATGCAAAATTTGAGAAGTCATTGTTTTTTAACGCAGCATAGTACTCTAATGGCACGGGGTTTTGAACCTACCTAATGTGCTGGCTTTGTGGGAGCCTAGCCAGTTTGGATGTTCACCTTCCTAGAAATGCACGGAGGGGGGAGGACCTAGGACTTACCACAGGGCAGGGAAATCTGACTGCTCTTTGGGCTGGAGAGGGAGGGGGAGAGGAGTGGGGGGAGGGGGAGAAGGGTGGGAGGAGGGGGAGGGAAATGGGAGGCTGGGAGGAGGAGGAAATTTGTAAAAAATATTAAAAATAAATAGAAAAAAAATAATAAAAGAAAAAAAACCATAACTGGAGATTACATTGAAGCTATGGCAATAGAAAACATCTAATATAATGAAAAACAACTTGAAGTAATTGTCCAACTCAAAATCCAGACATAACCTTCACTTTGTTCTACCATTCTCTGCATGTATTAAATAATTTCTCTCCTACCTAATTAACCACATCATCTTTAAGACACATCCTAGTTATATAGAGCCACCTGAAGCGTCTCAACTCCTCTCCTAATTGGTCTTCTATTGCTATCAGAAAAAAAAATAAAAATAAAACTAGATGATTTTACGGCAGAGTTTGCTAAGAGACATTCCTTATTATCATCCATGTATTTGTCTTTTTTGTGTAATTTCTCTCTCTACAGTCTATAAATTTATCCTGGAAGACATTTATTCGTTTTTAACATTTTATTGGTTGTTGCTAAAATATGCCTTTTACTATTTGGTTTATAAGTATCTGTATATAGATTTAAGCCAATTGATAATAAAAATACTCAGATAAAAATGCATCTTGAGCTTAACATCATCCTCATTTTCATAAGGTTTGTCAAATATGTGGAAATTTTAAGGATACATATTTCTATGTAATATAACCAAATTTTCCAAAAGAACTATCCAAAGCTAAGAAGGGCTGTTTTGTGAGAATGTGCTTTTGTCAGTGAAAGAATCTAGTAGGTATCTAGATTACCACTTCATTGGAAATGGACATGTCTAAATCACATAATTTAGGATAAGTTTAATTAACAAGTAAGTGTAAAGGCTGGATTAGATGATATTAGAGTTATATCCCATTCCTGATTTTTTTTTATCCTTTGAAGTTGTTTAAAGATAAACCTCCTGCCAGGAGTGGTGCTACACACCTTGATCCTAGCACTCGGGAGGCAGAGGCAGACTATCTTTGTGAGTTCAAGTCCAGCCTGGTCTACATAGTGAGTTCCAGGATAGCCAGGGATACACAGAGAAAACCTGTCTTGAAAAATTCCTTTACTAGTTGACAGTATTGTCTTAGAAGAAGAGGATTGAGTATTCAAGAAAAATGAAATAATTATACAACAAATAATATGAGACAGTCTTCAGCAACTATCAGTGGGGTATTAAAAACAGATCATCTCCCAGATCAAAGTTATAGAATGTAGAAATATAAACTGCACCAGATTAAAAAAAAATACATAAGTGATAATTAGGAATGTCTCTTAAGCAAACTGCTATAAAACCCATCTAGTTTTTAGAAAAGATCATTCTGGGAACTGAAAAAATGGCTCAATAGTTAAAAGAGTTCGATATTCTTGCAAAGGACCCAAGTTCAATTCCCAACACCCACATAGACCTGCTCACAACTCTGTAACTCCAGTTCCAGGTGATCTGACACCTCTTCTGACTTCCATATACATAGTAAACATGCATACACATTCACATGAATATTTTTAAAGTCATGTGATATTATAATTAAAAGTTTGTACATTTTGGTGGTAAAGAGGAAAGCCAGCTATTAGAAAATAATGCTGCTGTTATTTTGTTTTCATTTTTATTGGGTATCTTGAACTATGAAAAGTCCTGCCATATTCTTTTTTCTTTCTTTTTTATTTTTACTTTTAAAAAATATTTACTCTTGCCAGGCATGGTGGCTCATACCTTTAATCTCAGCACTCAGGAGGTAGAGGCAGGTGGGTCTCTGTAAGTTTGAGGCCAACCTGGTCTACAAAGTGAGTTCCAAGACAACCAGGACTACACAGAGAAATTCTGTCTTGAAAAAGTATATAAGTAAATAAAATAAATAAATAATATTTGCTCTTAACTTTTCATTCAGAAAATTAAGGACATTTGATTTAATTCATAAAGGTTTTGACAGTATATGTGGTCTCATTCTATTTTCTTAGAAAAAAAATCTCATGTTAGCATATATGTGTACCAATGTATTTTAAGATCTCTTAAAAGGAAATCTGTAACAACTTTTTTTAGTTTTTTGATAAAGGGTTTCTTTGTAGCTTTGGAGCCTGTCCTGGAACTTGCTCTTGTAGACCAGACTGGCCTTGAACTCACGGAGATCTCTGTGAGTGCTAGGATTAAAGGCATGCACCACCACCCAACTCAAAAGCTATAACATTTTAATCATAACAAATGGTAATTTAGCTTAGGCACAGGAATTTATGGGCTAGATTCTTCCTGCTCTTTCTCCCTGTGAATAGTCAGTGTGTTCCATGGTAATGTGAATGACAGAGTAGTACAAACTTATTTTAAAATGTCTGTGACAAAATCCTCCAGTAACTTACTACAGTGATGGAGTGTGTGTGTGTGTGTGTGTGTGTGTGTGTGTGTGTGTGTGTTGTCTAGTTTGGCTGAAATGCGGTTCTTGGAACTGAGGAGTTAAATTTTTCAATGTATGTCATTTTTTAAAATAACACGTATTTATTGAGGGAGCGCACACGTGGAGATTAGGGAATAACTTGCAAGAGTCAGCTCTCTCCTACCATGTAGGTCCTAGGGATCTAATTCATCATCAGTTTTGGTGGCAAAACCCCTTATCTGCTGAGCCATTGTTCCTCATAGTATGTAATTTTAATTAGCCTTTTTTGTAATTTTGGAGATGAAACCCAGGGCCTCACACATGCAACAGAAGGGTTCTAACATGGCTCAACATCTTGGCCCCATTTAAGTTAGTATAAATTTAAGTAGCCATTCATGACTGTGGTCTAATGCATAGTTCAGGTGTATTAGAACAATTTCAGGAAGTAAGGTTACTTAGATACTGGATTTATTGTGACCTTTTAGAGCCATGGCTGTCCTAGCAATAATATTAACTATGTCTTTTCTTTCATTTATTCTGAGCAACTGCTTTCTCAGTAGTTTATGGTATTGCCTGAATTCATGACATCCTGGTACATAGGTAGCTGATGTAGGTTCTGTCTTAAGCTTTATGTCCAGGAATTTTTCAGCTATTAGTAGGTAGTGTGTGAAAAGTATTACAATAAAAGCATATATAGGCAATGTGGAAGACGCAGAGAAGAAACCATATAAAACTTTACATAAATTAAGAGACTTCTCAAAAAAAGCAACTCAATACTTGCAGCTTAAATTGAAACCTTAAAATGGGAATTTCATATTTTTGCTCTTTTCTATATGACCAAGTTTCCTGGGTAACATAAAAAAATTCTTGGGCTGGAGAGATGGCTCAGAGGTTAAGAGCACTGGCTGGTCTTCCAGAGGTCCTGAGTTCAATTCCCAGCAACCACATGGTGGCTCACAACCTCCCTTGCGAGATCTGGTGCTCTCTTCTGGTCTGCAGGCATACATGCAGGCAGAACACTGTATGCATAATAAATAAATAAATCTTTTTTTAAAAAAAGGGGGGGGAAGCATATAATAATTTTTTAAAAAATTCTTACTTGTAAAATATGTTTCTCCTTTTTTTATTTGTAAAATATTTGTCATGGTCAAGCCTTCCCCTGTCTTTTTTGCTTTCTATAAGCTCACAGTTGGGGGCAGAGACATAGGTGTTCCCTATCCTCTTCCCATCTACTGCCTTAACACATTTTTTTCTCCTTCAGTGCTCTGTGAAAAGCTGTCTCACTGCCTTTCATGTCACCTGTGCCTTTGAGCACGGCTTGGAAATGAAGACTATCCTAGATGACGGTGATGAAGTAAAATTCAAGTCATTTTGCCTCAAGCATGGCCAAAACAAGCCAAAAATTGGGGAGGCCGAGTACCACCACCATAGAGTTGCTGAGCAGAGCCAGGCAAAAAGTGAGAAAACCAGCCTGCGGACACAGAAACTTCGTGAACTAGAGGAAGAATTCTACACCTTGGTCCAGGTGGAAGATGTTGCCAAAGAGCTGGGGCTATCTGCATTAACTGTTGACTTTATCTATAACTACTGGAAACTGAAGCGCAAAAGCAACTTCAACAAACCATTAATTCCTCCCAAAGAGGATGAAGAAAATGGCTTGGTACAGCCAAAAGAAGAAAACATCCATACTCGCATGAGAATGTTTATGCACCTGCGGCAGGACCTAGAGAGGGTAAGATGACCAGCTCTTACTATTGTCTACATAGAGATAGAAGATATTTTTAAAATGACCACCCCATTATATAGTGTGAGCTTCTGTGTCTTTCCTTATCATGTGAGTTCATTGTGGTCCCATACATTGGGTTCTGTTTAAACTTTGACTGGGATTGGAAAGGCTTCATAAGTACTTGCTCTATGAACTTTTAATTTATGATTTCCAGGTAAATTTAGTGCTATAAGAATCGAGAGAAAAGTTAGGTACTGTGTTTATCCTAGGAAATTTCATAATTGTCTAATTCTGGAAATTAACCAGGCTTGGTGGTACAGATGTCAAGTGCTATCATTCATACTCAGGGATAAAAAGGAGAGGCTAACGTATTATGCCATTATCTTCTCAGCTGGACTGTGTACATAAATACTGATCCTCTTAAATTGTAGACTAGAGAATAGATTTCAGAGAGAATCTTGGAGCACTTGCTCTTAAAGCCCATTGACATGGGAACCATGTCCCGATGATTGTCATGCTATAGTAATTCCTTTGATTTGGGTCATGGTCTGTGACCCTTGGGTCTTGTCTTCACTCCTCACTCCCACAGGCACCGGAACTCAGTGACCTTCAGTGTAACTGAACAATTTCAACTGTAAATTTGCTTATTATAACAAACATCTTTATTCACTGGGGATTGGGCTTGCAGGTTCGAAATCTATGCTACATGATAAGCAGGCGAGAGAAGCTGAAACTTTCACACACCAAAGTGCAAGAACAGATCTTCGGTTTGCAAGTCCAGCTTATTAACCAAGAAGTTACAGAAGGTAACAACCTGTGTGTTAAAATTGTACTAGCAAATATAGAGACTGATTATATCCATTTTTACAATTTGGTTTTATATCTATTGTGCCACTTAAAAATTGTTTTGTATGCTTCAGTCTAATTCTGATAATTATGTGACCTATTTCACTGTCAACTTCCAATGAGAAATTAATTCCTGGGTAGAAATTCCCTTCCAGGAAAAAAAATGAAAGGAAGGAAAAGAAATTCCAGGATAGGATTAGAAGAGTTGTAAATCTAAGCCAGATAATCTATTAATTACAGCCCTGAAAGTGTTTTGTAGTTATCAAATTCATTTAAAATCAAGAAGCCAACACCAAATTCTAGTTTCCAGAAACCATTTAATTCCAGGGTTCCTTATCTTAAAAGTAATCTGTTAAAACAGGTCTTTGGCTAGAAGTTAAAAGATATAGTTCTAATCTTTTCATTTATTCACTAATATTTATTGAGAACCTACTAGGGTAGTGGTTCTCAATCTGTGGGTTGCAACCCCTTGGGGGTCAAATAACCTTTTCACAGGGGTCATGGAAGACCATTAGAAAATATAGGTATTTACATTACAATTCATAACAGTTGCAAAATTATACTTATGAAGTAGCAATGAAATAATTTGATGGTTGGGGAACCATTAAGCATGAGGAACTGTATTAAAGGGTCACAGAATAGGAAGGTTGAATACCACTATACTAGGAACTAAGAACTAAACTAGAAGATAGAGCAGTCAAACAGAGAAATCCCTGCATTACCCACTTAATGATAAAGATACATGATGATACAGTAGATGCTTGGCTAGAATCATGACAGTCATGTACAGGACACTTCCCTATGTGTCTTTTAATATAGAATAGGTGGGAGAACCTGATCACTAAGGGTAACTTAGGCAAAATGTATAAAATCAGCACCTGTTAAAAGCCAACCATAAAATAAGAAAAAACATAGAAACAAGATGTTAGGTAGACATCAAAAGCCCCTGGGGTATTTGTGGCTGCATTATAGGATACTGGTATAGCAGGAAGTAGCAGGGATACTCAGCCACAAGGTTACCCCATAACATGACTGTCAAAGCAATAAAAAGTAAAGGAAAACAGGGAGGAGCCTCTATGTGATAACAAGATTGGACTCAGCCAAGTGGCTTCTGATTATAAGAATATAGCAGCTTGGGCTGGAGAGATGGCTCAGAGGTTAAGAGCACTGACTGCTCTTCCAGAGGTCCTGAGTTCAATTCCCAGCAACCACATGGTGGCTCACAACCATCTGTAATGAGATCTGGTGCCCTCTTCATGTCCAGCAAGCATACAAACAGACAGAACACTGTCTATATAATAAATAAATTAATTTTTACAAAAAAGAAAATAAAAACAAGAATATAGTAGCTTCCAGCATCAACATGTGGCAAGCCCTAGCAGAGATGGAGGCTGTAGTTGTTCGAAATGGTCCCTTGGGGAATGCATGCTATCCTTTAGGATACTTCCAAGCTATCCTTTCTCATTTTTATGAAGCTATATATTATAAGAAGATAATGGGCAAAGACCAATTTTATAGTAATATATCCGGGTAATTAATGCATCCTAGCATAGGCATCCTATACCTCTCCCAGGGCCAGCAAGATGATTCAGCAGCATTTGCTTCAAAAGCCTGGTGGCCTGAATTTGATCCTTAGAACCCATGTAAAGATGGAGAGAACTGACTCCATAATGTTGTCATCTACCTTCACGTGCATGCTATCGCACATGTGCCCATATATGGGTCCAATAATATTTTTTAAATTATTCTATACCCCACAATGGGAATTTGTAATCAGGATATTATAAAGTAAGGACATAAAGTATTCAGGAACCACCCACTGCTTCTAATGCCAGATTAAATAAAATACCTATGTGGCTTTCTATTTGGCTTGTTTGGGAATGCCTGAAGAGAATGAGCAATAAAATCTGAAATGTCTTGTGTTTGAGGCACATCTTCAGTCCTACTCATTACCCATATGCCCAATCATAAACAGACAAGAAATGAAAGACATGGAAATGGAGACAGAAGACAGAGCACACTAGTTGTTGCTATTGTTTTTTAGGTGTAAAGGTTGAGAGCCATGGATACTGTGGGACTCTGGGTTCATCCTCTACTGCAGCTCACTTTACCTGCTCACCATGGTATACATGCTCATCAGAGACAGTTGCTTATTAGACATTTGGAACAATAGGTTCATGAACTCTCTTTGTGATACACATATGCTTAATAATTAAATCAGTTGTTAAGCAAATCTTCCTTTTTGATTTCAGGACTTTCTTTGACAAATGCACTAGAGAACTCATTGTTTTACCCACCACCACGTATCACCTTAAAGTTGAAAATGCCTAAATCAACCTCAGAAGACTGCAGAGACAGCTCCACAGAAACAGAACACCAACCCTCCTCGCCTGGCAGCAGCTCCCCTGGTCACAATAAAAGGAGCCCACAAATGCCTGAGGAGGCGCTGGACATGAATGTGAAAATGTATCCACGACATCCACTAGAAATCAAGAGTAACTGTTTGCTGGCTAGTCACAGTCATTCTCGAAGTGAAGCCAAGAGTTCCAGTCCTGCTCAGAGAGCTCCATCTGCCGAGCTCTATCATGGGCAATCATTAGGAAAGCCTCTGGCCCTTCAGGCTGCCCTCCACGGACAGGCTTCTATTGGTAATGGGAAGAATCAGCCTAACTCCAGGCTTGCCGGTTCCAATGGTCTGGAGGGCAACTGGTCTGGAAACATCACCCAGAAAGATAATTTAGATGAGATTTTCTGTGACCAGGAGTCAATGCTCAGCCCCCACTTGCCCAGTCAGGGCAACATTAGAAAATCTGGCATAGAACACTTTAGCAGATCCTTTAAGGAGGCCACCAATACATGGGTGAGGCCCACTGAGGACCTCCAGTACTGTGCTAAACCAACTAAGAATGTGAGTTCTAAGGAGCAGTTGTGGGGTAGACAGCTTCTCAGGCGGTCAGCAGGAAGAGCTCCATATCAGGAAACTGATGGGTATTGCCCTGATTTAGAGCCCAGCGATTCAGAAGCAGAAGGGGAAGGGAGTAAAGAAACAGCAAGGGTAAAGAGAGAAAGTTCTGACCGAGAAAATCCTTCTCATGATTCTGTTCGGGAATGCCATGGGAAAAGCGAGACACATCCTCATTCCCACAGCTCAATGCAAAGGTGATCAGAAATACCTAAGCAGACTTTGCCCCACATTCTAGGGGAAATCTAAACACCCAAAGGATTCTAGTGTATATTAGGAGGAATTGCAGGGAAAATGATGGTATGATGTTTCGAAAAGGTTTCAGGTCTAGTTTTTATAAGCACATTACAAGAGTTGCAGATTGACTGGGGTTGCTTTGTTGGAGGCTGCTGGTAACAGTTGGGCCCAGAGTATTTGCTCAGTGAGTACTTCAGGACCGCTTTTCAGTTATCTTAACACACTGATTAAACTACGTATTAAGAATCATTGTATTGTCAATGGATTTGCGAGAGAACATGACAGACACTAAAGCTACTTATCTTTTTTTTTTTTTATTTATTAAGAAAAGAAGAAAAAAAACATAAACAAAAAACAAGTTTCCACCTCCTCCCAGCCTCCCATTTCCCTCCCCCTCCTCCCACCCTTCTCCCCCTCCCCCCACTCCTCTCCCCCTCCCTCTCCAGTCCACAGAGCAGTCAGGGTTCCCTGCCCTGTGGTAAGTCCTAGGTCCTCCCCCCTCCGTCCATATCTAGGAAGGTGAACTTCCAAACTGGATAGGCTTCCACAAAGCCAGCACATTAAGTAGGATCAAAACCCCGTGCCATTGTCCTTGGCGTCTCATCAGCCCTCATTGTTCGCCATGTTCAGAGAGTCCGGTTTTATCCCATGCTTTTTTGGTCATAGTCCAGCTGGCCTTGGTGAGCTCCCAGTAGATCAGCTCCACTGTCTCAGTGGGTGGGTGCACGCCTCGTGGTCCCGACTTCTTTGCTCATGTTCTCCCTCCTTCTGCTCCTCATTGGGACCTTGGGAGCTCAGTCCAGTGCTCCAGTGTGGGTCTCTGTCTCTGTCTCCATCCATCACCAGATGAAGGTTCTATGGTGATATGCAAGATATTCGTCAGTATTGCTCTAGGATAGGGTCATTTCAGGTTCCCGATCCTCAGCTGCCCAAGGAACTAACTGGGAACCTCATGTTGGGCACTTGGGAGCCCCTCTAGGGTCAAATCTCTTGCTCACCCTAAAGTGGTTCCCTTAACTAAGAATTGTGGTTCCGTGCTCCCCTATCCACCTTTCCTTTATCGCAATTCTCCTGATTCCCCAAGTCCCCCCTCCTTCCCTTCTACCTTTTCTCTCCCCATCTCCCCTTACCCCCATCCCACCCCACCCCCAAGATCCTGATTTTCTCACCGGCAATTTGGTCTACTTCCCTTAGCCAAGAGGATAACTATATGTTTTTCCTTGGGTTCACCTTCTTACTTAGCTTCTTTAGGTTCACCTATTTGTAGACTCCGTGGCCCTAATTTATGGCTAGAAACCAATTATGAGCGAGTACATCCCATGTTCATCTTTTTGGGTCTGGGACACCTCACTCAGGATAGTGTTTTCTATTTCCATCCATTTGCATGCAAAATTCGAGAAGTCATTGTTTTTTAACGCAGCGTAGTACTCTAGCGTGTATATATTCCATACTTTCTTCATCCATTCTTCCTTTGAAGGGCATCTAGGTTGTTTCCAGGTTCTGGCTATTACAAATAATACTGCTATGAACATAGTTGAACAAATGCTTTTGTCATATGATAGAGCATCTCTTGGGTATATTCCCAAGAGTGGTATTGCTGAGTCCAGGGGTAAGTTGATCCCGAATTTCCTGAGAAACCGAAACACTGACTTCCACAGTGGTTGCACAAGATTGCATTCCCACCAGCAATGGATGAGGGTACCCGTTCCTCCACAGCCTCTCCAGCAAAGGTTATCCTTGGTGTTTTTGACTTTAGCCATTCTGACAGGTGTAAGATGATATCTCAGAGTTGTTTTGATTTGCATTTCCCTGATTGCTAAGGAAGTTGAGCATGACTTTAAGTGTCTTTTGGCCATTTGAACTTCCTCTGCTGAGAATTCTCTGTTCAGTTCAGTGCCCCATTTTTTAATTGGGTTAATTAGCATTTTAAAGTCTAGTTTCTTGAGTTCCTTATATATTTTGGAGATCAGACCTTTGTCTGTTGTGGGGTTGGTGAAGATCTTCTCCCAATCAGTAGGTTGCCTTTGTGTCTTACTGACTATGTCCTTTGCTTTACAGAAGCTTCTCAGTTTCAGTAGGTCCCATTTATTCAATGTTGCCCTTAATGTCTGTGCTTCTGGGGTTATACATAGGAAGCGATCTCCTGTGCCCAGCTCCTGTAGGGTACTTCCCACTTTCTCTTCTATCAGGTTCAGTGTGTTCGGGCTGATATTGAGGTCTTTAATCCATTTGGACTTGAGTTTTGTGCACGGTGATAGATAAGGGTCTATTTTCATTCTTTTACAAGATGACATCCAGTTGTGCCAGCACCATTTGTTGAAGATGCTTTCTTTCTTCCATTGTATACTTTTAGCTCCTTTATCGAAAATCAGGTGTTCATAGGTTTGTGGGATAAAATCCGGGTCTTCTATACGATTCCATTGGTCGACTTCTCTGTTTTTATGCCAGTACCACACTGTTTTCATTACTGTAGCTCTGTAATAGAGTTTGAAGTCAGGGATGGTAATGCCTCCAGAAGATCCTTTATTGTATAGGATTGTTTTGGCTATCCTGGGTTTTTTGTTTTTCCATATAAAGTTGATTATTGTCCTCTCCAGATCTGTGAAGAACTTTGATGGGATCTTGATGGGGATTGCATTGAATCTATAAATGGCCTTTGGTAGAATTGCCATTTTTACTATGTTGATCCTCCCAATCCAAGAGCAAGGGAGGTCCATCCATTTTTTGGTATCCTCTTCAATTTCTTTCTTCAATGCCTTAAAGTTCTTGTCAAATAGATCTTTCACTTCCTTGGTTAGATGTACCCCAAGATATTTTATGCTGTTTTTGGCTATTGTGAATGGTGAAGCTTCTCTGATTTCCCTCTCTGCTTCCATATCCTTTGTGTATAAGAGGGCGACTGATTTTTTGGAGTTGATCTTGTATCCTGCCACATTACTAAAGCTGTTTATCAGCTGTAGGAGTTCTTTGGTGGAGTTTTTGGGGTCGCTTATGTACACTATCATATCATCTGCAAATAACGAAAGTTTAACTTCTTCCTTTCCAATTCGAATCCCCTTGATTCCATTATGTTGTCTTATTGCTATTGCTAGAACTTCAAGTACTATATTGAAGAGGTATGGGGAGAGTGGACAGCCTTGTCGTGTTCCTGAGTTAAGTGGGATGGCTTTGAGTTTCTCTCCGTTTAATTTGATGTTAGCTGTCGGCTTGCTGTATATAGCTTTTATTATATTTAGGTATGACCCTTGTATCCCTAATCTCTCCAAGACTTTTAACATAAATGGATGTTGAATTTTGTCAAATGCTTTTTCAACATCTAATGAAATGATCATATGGTTTTTTTCTTTCAGTTTATTTATATGCTGGATTACATTGATAGATTTTCGTATGTTGAACCAGCCCTGCATCTGAGGAATGAAGCCTACTTGATCATAATGGATAATTTTTCGGATGTGTTCTTGGATTCGATTTGCCAGTATTTTGTTGAGGATTTTTGCGTCGATATTCATGAGTGAGATTGGCCTGTAGTTCTCTTTCCTGGTTGAGTCTTTGAGTGGTTTTGGTATCAGAGTAATTGTGGCTTCATAAAAGGAGTTTGGTAATGACCCTTCTGTTTCTATCTTGTGGAATACATTAAGGAGTATAGGTATTAGATCTTCTTGGAAGATCTGGTAGAATTCCGCATTGAAACCATCTGGTCCTGGGCTTTTTTTGGTAGGGAGGTTTTTGATAACCTCTTCTAATTCTTCGCGACTAACAGGTCTATTTAGATTGTTCACCAGGTCCTGATTTAACTTTGAAACTATAACATGTGACTCCTTAGAGCTCATGTCTGTAGAAAGTTTCTAATTCCACTGGTATCTATAAACCTCTTTAAGGGAGAGACTGGGAGAGCAGCATTCTCAGATACTGTCACTATTGTCTTCCTTGCTTCGTGCAAGGTTGAGTTTCTTTCACAGTATCATATCGTATAAAGTCAATTCTCCTAAGTGTCCAGTGCCTGTTTCTAGACCTGCTTGTTTGGGAACACACTCATAACTCTCTTATCCAGCTAACAAGCTAACTTGTGGATAGTGTTTACGAAAGTACTACTTCCAAGGAAATGCTCTGCTTCTCAAGGCATTTGCAAAGACTTCAGAGCCTTTCCTGAAGTGTGACCTTTTCTGGGATATTTGTACCAGGTCAGGGTTTTTTGTGTTGTTTTCAAATAAGTTTGACTAAAGTTGGGCTGACAGTTTTTGTATACCTGCTTTAATGTTTATAAAATTTTTATTGAGGTATAATTAAAATATAGTGTAATGCGCAGAAGGTTAAGTATTCTTACCTGCTTTAATTTTGAAACAGATTTTTATTGTCAGACAAATTTGAAAGCATGTGTTTAACACATGGATATAATTTAGCTTTGTATGAATTTTGAATCCAAGGCAATTTCCCAAGTGTAAAAGTTAGAGCCATTTTTCAGAACTTGATTATACCACATTACCAAATAATCAGCCTTGATTCATTTCTAGAGGAAGAGAATTCTGAATTAGAGAATGAAATAGGTCTGCTTCCCATTTAAGATAAGGGGAAAGTAGCAGTTTATAAAATGGGAGGCAGACTGGAATTCTCAGCTCCCTTTTCTTCTTAGCCTTAAAATAATATTCTCTTTCTTCTAGTTTGGGAACATATGGAGAAAGTTTTCAAACAAGAGGCCATTTTCAATTTCTGAAGTTTCATGCTGGTGAAAGCAGCAGTAGGTGCCAGTGAGGGCAGTAGCCCTCTAGCCAATGCAGTGGAGCAGTTTGCCCCTCCTGCTTTTGTTCTTAGAACCTTGTTAAAGGCATCTTTGGGGTTTTGTTCTCCCTCTCCCTCTCCCTCCCCCTCTCCCTCCCCCTCTCACTCCCCCTCTCCCTCCCCCTCTCTCTCCCCCTCTCCCTCCTGTATTTTGCCTTTCCTTTGGCTGCATCTTCAAAATGTTTGTGTGCCTATGAACATGTATGAAATGTGTGAACATACTATAACATGTGTAGTAGGTGTTCTGAATTTTGTTTTAGTTGAAAAATGAGGAAAAAATTTCCTCTTAATACCCTCGGCCTCTGTTTTTGAATACTTCTAGGTACATATAAATTTAACACTTTCATGGTAATGAGAGTATAATGGAGGTGAGTGGTAAATTTCTTATATTAAAGGCCAGTAAATTGGCCTGTGTGCTTTCATGCCTTTGAATTCTGGGGGGGGGGGGTGACCAAACATGAAAACAGTGCTTTAGCCAAATTCCATATGAAATGCCATTGGGAGAGTATTGCCTGAA